CGGAACAAGCCACGAAAAGCCCAACGGGGAGGCGACGAGGACGGCGGGGAGGCCGAGGGCAAGAGGGGGCAGAAAGAGCGCGAGGAAGAGCTTTGGCCGCGATGCCGAAGGCACAAGCAAGGCCAAAGCCCCAAAGATGTAGGCCGGCCCAGTGGCTGCCCCGACATGGGTTCTCCACGTCGCCTCCGCTGCATCGCAATCGGCCGGTGGCAGCGGCGGGGGCAGCTCGGGGGGCGGCGGCAGCGGGGCGCGCCCCGGTGGCCACGGCGGCGGTGCGGGCGGTGCGGGCGGTGGCGGGGAGAGAAAGGCCAGTGTCAGATCGTTGTCCGTCCAGGAGCCGTCGCAGTAAACCCGCCAGGTAGCCGTGCCGAGCGGCGGCGAGGAGGAGTCGTCCGAGTCGATGTGGGCCCAGTAGCTACATTTCCCGTCGCCATCGAGGTCGCTCGAGGCGGTAGTGCTCGGCACATCATCATCCACGATCCAGCGGGCGGTAGAGCCTGTGTCATTGCAAGTGGGGTCCCAGTAGATGTAGTACGACGACGAGGTGTCGCGGAAGTACGGCGCTCCCGAGTAGGTGTAGCCGACCGCGACATACTCGACGTTGTCGAGGGCAGAGCTTCGCAGAGCGCAACCTCCGGTGAACATGAGCGGCGGCGGGAGTGGTTGAGGCGGCGAGGGTGGCAGCGATGGCGGTGACGGCGACAATGCACATGCCAGCGGGAGCAGCGCGACGAGAAACAGCCACACGCTGTGCCTCGCCTCCGTCCGGCACCGCACGAGGCGCCCCGAGTTGCTCCTCCGCACCGAGGCCGCACCGAAGCGCGGTGGCCACATCAACTCGCTCATGCGCAGCACGCCGCACACACCGAGCAGGAGGAAGAACCAGGCGGCCCAAAGCTGACCGCGCTGCTGGGCGCGGCTAGGCGCGGACGAGGAGTGTACGTGTACGTTCATGAAGAGAAATCGGAACGGGGAGGGCAGGTCGTTGGAGAGCTCGTCGGCCAGCGGCTTGTCGGTCTTGTAGAGCTCGTCGGTGAGCGCGTGGTGAATCTCCACCACCGGCGGGTAGGACGCAGAGGAAGAGACGGTGAAAGTCCCATCGGTCCAGCCTGGCGCTGACCACCTCGTTCCGGTCCACCCATGTACCATTTCGAAGGTGCAGGTGCCCGGCGGCACCGCGTGCATATCCTCGTGGGGAGCCCCGCCCGTGGTGTTGTCGGCGAGGCCGTCGCAGGCGAGCGACCAGGGGACGTCCTCTGGGTAGTATCCGCCGCTCACTTTGACCACCATTGGCGATGGAGGCAGCAGCGGCGGTGGCAGTGGTGGAAAGGGCGGCCGCGATGACGGTGGCGACGGCGAGGACGATGGCGGCGACGGCAGCGAGAGCGGCGAGAGCGGCTGCGGCGAGTGGATCCCATAAGTTCCCAGCCATGTCTGAGTGCGCACGA